TAAATTTGGCTTCATGGGGGTCGTGCTGCCCGCACCTCCAGGGACAGACGCTGAGCCACGTCAGCCCTCAGAGAACCGCAGGCCTGGGTCCTGGCTGGGCAGGGGAACTGTGGGTCCCCGAGTGAGCGCGGGCTGCTGCCAGGTCCCTATGTCAGAGCCACAGGCGGAGCCGGGGAGCAGGCCAGGCCACCAACAAGAGGCAGGGCCTGCAGCGGGGAGGACAGGGCCTGGCCTTCTACCAGCCTCGGCTCCTGCTGCCACACTGGCCGCAGTGTGCCTGTCCCCACAGAGGCCTCCTTCAGCCCCTAGTAGGTCCTCTCCTCTCTCAGAATTGCCACCAGCCCCCTCCCTCAGAGCCGCCATCCCAGCTCCTGTGGTGCCCAGCCGTGCCCAGCCCTGCCCCTCTCCCTAGGACGTCCAAGAGGCTCGGGAGGCACGCTCTCGGGGTGGCCCATGCCCTGCGTCTGCTCTCGAACTCGGGACCCCACTCAGGCTGGGCGAGGAGGCCTGAGCCATACCACTCCCGGGACTCAGTCCTCTCAAGGGGTCTGTCCCCAGTCCACAGACCACCCATCGTGTGGGCTCCTGCAGCAAGAGCAGCTGACACCTGAGCTGCCCAACCTCCACCCTGCCACGTCCGGTGCAGGGGCACATAGTAGGCACTCAGCAAGTTCGCGCTGCTGTTGTGCTACTGGCCCAGCCTCCTGCATGGGCCTGACCTCTGAGTGGAGCCGGTGCCCTGCAGCCCCGGGGAGGATGGGCTCTGCCTCGACTGGCTGGTGACCCTGGAGTGGCTCATTTGTCTGCACCGCGACGTCCCCATCTGGAAAACAAGGTGTGAGGAGAAGCTTCCAAGAAGCTGGCAGCCGTGACGGGCGTCCTGTAGTCTCCCTGAAGTGCCAACACGCCCAGACCCTGGTCTGCCCCGGGCACCTTCCTGGGGGCAGGTTCCCGGCCCTGCCCGGGCACCTGGGGCTCCCAGGTCCCTCTCCACCTGCCTGAGTGTTTTCATACTGAGGTCCAGTGCAGGGCCAGGCTGGCTTTGCTCTCTGCTCCACCGGCTTCTCCAGGGCCATGGGTGAAGGTGGCCTTGGCCACCTTGTGAGGACTCCATGGGAGGAGACATCCTAGGCTCTTAGGCAGAGAGGAGCCCTAGTGCGGGCACCCCAAGCTGATGCTGGCCCAGCCCTGGATGTCCTCTGGGGACACTGTCCCCAGCTGCAGTCACTCCTTTCCTGCGGCCATAGCCTTCCGGGCCCCTGGCTGCTGACACTCCAGTAGCGGTCACTCTTCCCAAGCAAGGCACGGCCACAGATTCCCTGCTGTCTGTGTGGACACCCCCCCACAGGTCCTTTGTTAGCGAGGGAGTTGGGGCTTGGAAATTCCCGGTGGGGCTAGCTGGCAGCACCCAGTTGGGGGCCGGGGACCCTTAGGCCAGCTCCCCTGGCTCCCCAGGCTCCAGACCCTGCCATTTGGAGAGGCCACAGTGCCCTCTGCTGGCCATTGGCTGGGGCCGCACCTCTGCAAGAATATCTACAAAGAACTGAGAAGGAGGAGGGAAGTTCTACCTGTGCTCTGCCCAGGCCCCGCCCCATCAATCCCCACCTCCCTCTGGGTCCCTCAAAGAACTCCTGGAGTCAGTCGCCCTGGTAACCCCCCCCCCCCCTATGCTCCTCCTGGCCCCTCTACTACACACCATTCATCTTTGACTCAGCCAAGCCCACTTCCTCCAGGAAGGCTCCCCAGACTCACCCAGGGGTACTGGCCTCCCCACTTCCTGCCCTGGCAGTCCCTACGAGAATATATCTTACCTGTCCATCTGCCTTTCCCTGCATGGCCATGCACTCCCTGGGGGTGGGGACCATGTCCATCTGCCCTCAGCCCCAGTGCAGAGCTGCTCAGGGCGGGAGCTCAGGTGGGAAATGTTTGTTGAGGGACATTTTAGTGTCAACTACTGCAAAGGTTCTGAGCAGGACTCTTGTGTTGTGGGTGCCCTACAACAAGACCCCCAAACAGAGCATGAAAACATGCCCTTGAGAGGAAGCCCAGCCCACGTCAAGGTGTAAACCTGGATGGAACCTGCTCCCATCACTTCCCGCCCTTCCCCCTCAAACGTCCCTGCTGGGCAGCGAGGGTGCCCTCCTCGCAGACCCTGTCCAGAGCGCCCTTGGACTTTACTTTTCTTCTCCCCCTTTTTTGTGTGACTCTAATGGGGTCATGCTAGACTCATGATTCTGTATTTTTTTATTTCGGGAAATGATCCACCTTGAGGCCTCTAAGTCAGCACCTGGGGGTTTGTGTCCTTCTCTTCAGTAGCTGCAAAGCGTCCCCAGCCCTGGCACTACTGTACTGTGGGATTGTTGTTTATACCTCAGTGAATCTGGAGAGAAATGCATTTGCTTGGTGGCTTTTAATTTAATTTTTTTTTTTTTTTTTTTGCAGTTGCAAGCAACTTTTCTGTAAACAGCCTGGTGCACAATTCTTTGTGCCTGTGTGCGACTATTTCTGTAGAACTGACTCATAGAAGTGGACTTGCTGGGCCGGGGTGGGGGTGGGGGTCTGCTTCACATTTTAACAGACACTCTCAGAATACCTCCAAAGGTGGGTGCTGGCCACCTCACAACACGGTGCCTGGGGGCTTCTCTTCTCCCCTCTTTGCAGCTAGGTGTTACCAGACTTAGAAAGGGCGCCCTTGAGGTCTCCCAGAGAAAAGAGGTCTGGGGGTTGCTTGGCAGGTGTGGGAGCCTCCCCCTCTGGATCGCAGTGGGGCCACCCTTGCTTCTCCTTGGCCCAGGAGGGAGAGTCTGCCCGAAGCCCTTGCCCAGGCCTTTCTGCAGGCCCCTGTGGGCAGAGGGGCTTGGGAAGCCCAGCTGGAGGCCCCAAAGCAGCGTCCACATGGAGTTGCCTCCGGCATGGTATGCCAGGCAGTTCTTGGGGAAGCAGCCCCTCCTGCTCTCCGGGCGGAGAAACCAGGTTTGGGAGATGCGAAGATCCCAGGCTTGATTGTGCACAGAGAGGCCAGGAGGACACAAAGCTCCCTGCTGGGTCTTGCAAGAAACACAGGCTGTGGGCATAGACGCCCCTTGTGAGCTGCAGGGCAGAGTCCATTGGGCCCAGAGTGGGGCGCGCGGGGTGCTCGCCTCCTGTCCCAGCCCCTCCTCCTCCCCCCAGCAGGGACAGTCTATGTGGAGGATGAATCTTGGAAATAGCTTGTCATGTGTGAGATGGCTGGGGTGGGGGACACTGCCCACCCCCCCCCACGCGCCTCGTTCACCCCACGCAGCCATGTCCTAGGCAGCTCACCAGGTCATGGGGGGAGGAGATGCTCCCAACACCTGAGGTGGGTTTAGAACACGTGAGTCTTCAAAGTGCCCAGGAGGACACGGAGTGGTTTTCGTTGTCTGTTTGACTCCACTGGCCCGCACAGGGGGACTTGAAATGACCGTGGAGGAATCAGACTAGGGAGACAGGAGGGAGGCTTTGG